ATGATGTGATAACATGCAGGGGATGATTTCAACTCTTTTGCATTTCTTTAAATATGTTCTATGAGTTAATATATGGTCTATTTTAGAGAATGACCCATGTACTGCTGAGAAAAATGTGTATTCTGTTGTTGTTGGGCAGAATACTCTGTATATGTCTATCAATTCCATTTGTTCACAGGTGTGATTCAGTTCTTGTATCTCTTTGCTGATTTTCTGTCCTGTTGATCTGTCCATTGGTGTCAATGGTGTGTTAAATTCTCCTGTTATAATTGTATTACTGCTAATTTGGTTTTTCATTTCTGATATTACGTGTTTTATATAACTTGGTGCTTTGGAATTTGGTGCATATATATTTAAGATAGTTATTTCTTCCTCTTGAAGTTTCCTCGTAACCAGTATGCAGTGACCTGCTTTGTATCTTCTGATCATTATTGGTTTGAAGTTCACATTGTCTGCAAACAGAATAGCTACCCCCCCCTTTTTTTTTTTGAGTTCCTGGTGCATGAAGTATTGTTTTCCATCCTTTGACTTTCAGTCTGTGAGTATCCTTTTGGGTTAGATGGGTTTCTTGTAGACAGCATATGGTTGGATTTTGTTTCTTGATCCATTCTGCCAGTCTATTTCTTTTAATTAGTGTGTTGAGACCATTTACGTTAATGGTTATAAGTGTTATATATTGGTTTATTAGTGACATGTTATCTTTCTGCTATTGCATGTTTTTCTGTTCTATTTGTCTGCTTTGTTAAGTTTTTTTTTCTTTGCTTTGTTTTTTCTTAAGTGTATCTAGACCGTCTTTCACTATTCTTTGCAGGATTGGCTGGGTGATCATGAATTTCTTCAGCTGTTTTTTGTCAGAGAAGTATCTTATTTCTCCATCAATTTTGAAGGACCATTTTGCAGGGTACATTAGTCTAGGTTGGAAATCATTTTCCTTTAGGGTCTGAAATACTTCACTCCATGCTCTTCTTGCCTTTATTGTTTGTGTTGAGAACTCTGCTGTGATTCTGATAGGTTTTCCTTTATAGGTGATCTGTCTTTTATCTCTGACAGCTTTTAATATTCTATTCTTTTGTTCGATTTCTGGAATGGTGATTATTATATGTCTGGGTGTAGTTTTATTTAGGTTATGGCTATTTGGAGTTCTACATGCCTCATTGATCCTGATATCAGTTTCCAATTTCATTTTTGGGAAGTTCTCAGCAATTACTTCTCTAAATATCCTCTTGACATCCTTTGTATTGTCTCCTTCTTTTTCATTTATCCCTATCAACCTGATGTTGTTTTTCTTTGTGTCATCTTGCAGGTGTTGTATTGTTATTTCTTGATTTCTTGTTATTTTTAAATGATCTTTCCTTTCCTGTTCACTGGCTTCAATCTTGTCTTCGAGGTCTGAAATTCTATCTTCGTATTCATTCAGGCGGTTTTTACAACTTTCAATGTTGCTTTTGATTTCCTGTATATCTCTTTGCATCTGTTTTATATATTCTGTTTGTTTCTTATATTGTTCATCCAGAGATTCTATCCTTTTGTTTAGTTCCTCCAATTGTTTAGCTGTGTCTTATTTAGATATGTTCAGCATCTCCTTCATTTCTTTTATTATTTCTTCTTTTACCTGATATATTATTTCTAGTTTGAATTCCTTCAAAGCTTCCCAGAGCTGCTTCTTTATTTCTGTTACTATTATTTCAGGTATTTCAGGTATATGGCATGTATTTTCTTCTATGTACATGGCTCCTAGGCTTTCTTGGGGGGATGGGTTGGATGTTTGAGATTGCATTTTGGTCTTTGTCATTTTCCTATATTACTGTGTTTCAAGTGTTGTTTCAGAGTTTCCCTTGGTTGTGTTGTAAATTGACTCTTATGTCCTGGGCTCTTGGGACTCCTTTTGTAGTAGCTCCCTCCTTGGGCAGCAGAGCCCCTGGATTAAAAGAGGCTTTCCAGGCTCCTCTCAGGTAGCCCTAAAGCTTCCTCAATTTGCAGTTTCAGGGCCAGGCCGGAGTCACCTCCGTTCAGCTGAATGTGCACTTTCTGGTCCACAGAGGTTGTAGTTGGGCCCTGGGTGGGAGAGGCGGCAGCAGGGCTGGCCTCCACTCAGGTGGATGTGCACCTTCCAGTCCCCAATGGTGGTGATATGGATTCTGGGCAGGATAGGCATCAGCAGGGCCGGCCTCCTCTCGGCTGAATGCTCAAATTCCGGTCCCCAGTGGTCATAGTATGGGCCCTGGGCTGGAGAGGCGGAAGCAGGGCCAGCCTCCACTCAGCTGGATGCACACCTTCTAGTCCCCAGCGGTACTAGTATGGGCCCTGGGCTGGAGAGGCGGCAGCAGGGCAGACCTGCGCTCGGCTGGACACTCACCTTCCAGTCCCCAGTGGTGGTACTTGGGCCCTGGGTGGGAGAGGCAGCAGCAGGGCCGGACTCCGCTCAGCTGATATATAAGTAACCTATTAACTAGTGATTTCTTACTATATTTTTTCTTGAAATTATGTAGTATGTGTACACTTTTACTGCTTTGTTTTTTTTTATTTCCTTTCTTTTTTCTCTTTATATAAAAAATAATCAAACCTGGAATGGATATCTTTTATTTATTTATTTATTTGGTACTGGAGATCAAACTCATGACCTCACACTTGCCAGACAGTTGCTTAAGCCACTGAGCTAAATCCCCAGCCCCCCAGTGTATATCTCTTACATCTTGTCATCTTCAGAGTAGTTGCCTCTACTCTTGGACTTGATACCAGCAAGCAAAGCAAATGTGAATAAATTCAGTCAAAGCCAAATAGCATTCAAACAAAACAGCTTCAAAGAAGATCAGTCATAGAGGACAATGTAAGTAATATCGGGTTTCAGTTTAAGTTAATAGGAAATGAAGGATAGTTACCATGGTATAACCTGCTGTTTTGGGGTTATCTCTCTGTGTGCTCAAATCTAATATGAATAGACAGACCAGAACAAAATATAATCAAACTAAACAGAGCAATAAGACTTCTGTAGCTTTTAAATCCTGATACACTTTTAACAAGGTCCTCTGCCTTCTTTTATTAGGCAATTCCTCACCTTTCTCCTTCTCAGGATGCTATTATTCACAGTTCTGAGTGACATTAGTCTAGTTTCTTATGCTCAATTTGAGCATACATAAAGATAAAGACAGCTATTATGAAGAGAATGAGAGATTATCGTAGTCATTTTCAACTTCCTCAAAATAAGTCTTGAAGACCAAAAAAGCCTGCATCATTCTGTAATTATTTGCTTAGATCTATAGTGTTCAGTATATATTTAATGCATGTGAAGATGGGAAAAAACTGTTTGGAAGAAAATTAGAGACAGTTAGATAAACAGTGAACATCTCCAGTGGACTTGCTTTGAAATCTGTGTTTCCTTAACTTGTTTTCTTATGAACTGTTATCTTCTGTTTTGTCATGTTTAATCTTACACTCTTTAAGAAAAATACAAGTGTGTAAGACATATAAGCATATTAATAAGTTTTTGTTGGATCATAGAGGTGAACTGTTCACAGTGTCATTATTGGAATATCACTTTCTGTGCTTTAATTTTATAACTTGAACAACTACTTCTAAGATGACAATATGCAACAAATCAACTAGTGATATCTTATTATTTTTCTGAAATTATGTATTATTTCTATACTTTTTTTCTGTTTTTTTTTCTCTTTAAATAAACAACATTAAAGTTCACAAAAATATAAAATATTTAAAGACAAAATATTAAGGACATAGACACTATCCATACTTGAAATTGAAAAGCCCATTTCAGTTTACCATGTTTAACTACAAGATGCCATGTTGAAGCACAAAGACACTTTTAAAAATCTAAAGAGGTACAAGTGATTAACTGAAAACAATACAAGTTGTGCCCTTGAGTAGAGATGCTCCTCAGATTTGTCATTTCTGTAAAATTTGTGAAGAAATATTGACATCAAAATTCTGTATTGATTATTTCTTCAGGTCTCCTTGCGATTTTTAAAGTAAACTTAGATCTACACTGTCTGAAGAGTGATGTTTTTTCTATGTATTTAACAACAAACATGGATTGCCATATTTCTCACATTGTTATTCCACATAGGATCCAGTGAGCCCTTTCAGATATGTAACAATGATCATGTGTGCTGAGGGTTCCTATAATACATAGAATTTATCGCTTGTGTGAGATTTTTCACATATTTCACTTACAATATGGCTCCTGAAAGTGTCTCCACTTGCTTCCATAGCCAGTGGTTCTTCCAAGTGTGAATTCTTTCACGTGTTTTGTAGTGACTCTATGCAGTAAAAGCTTTGCCACATTGTTATATACATAGGTTTTCTCATCAGTGTAAAGTCATTGATGTATTTTACAATATCCATATGTGGAGAAAGCTTTCCCACATTCTTCACATACACAAGGTTTCTCAACAGTGTAATTTTTTTCATGTATTGGACAATGAGCATTTCTGCTGAAACCTTTCCAACATTCCTAACATATATAAGTTTTCTGCCCAGTGTGAATATTTCATGCATCATGAAATATGTACATGTGCTCAAAAATTCTCATGATACTTATATACACTGGTTTTATCTTGAGTGTGAGCTTTCATGTTGCTTACAATGTCCATGTCGGGAAAAAGCTTTCCCACATTGGTTACATACATATGGTTTCACTCCAGTGTGAATACTTTCATGTGTCTTACACTGTCCATGTGTGGTAAAAGCTTTCCCACATTCCTTACATACATAAGGTTTCTCTCCAGTGTGAATTCTTACATGAACCTTACAATACGCACGTGTTTTAAAAACTTTCCCACACTGCTTACATACATAAAGTTTCTCTCCAGTGTGATTTCTTCCATGTTTGTTACAATCTCCCCATGTGTTAAAAGCTTTCCCACATTGCTTACATACATAGTGTTTCTCTACAGTATGAATTCTTTTATGTTGCTTATAATGTCCAGATTTGGTGAAACCTTTTCCACATTGCTTGCATACATAGGGTTTCCCTCCACTGCAATATTTTTTATGGATCTGAACATTGTGGTGTGCTTCTGTTTCTTTCACATTCACATTACCTTCTGCAGTACAAAGGAATACTTCTTTACACTGATTCCAAGATGTATATCCATAGGACTTCCCTAGCTTGTCATTTCTGTGAAGAAAAACATCACATATAGGATTAATAACCATATTACTAAGCTTTTTTTGGAGAGTTGAACAAAACTGTTTACAGTCTCGCTGCTTGAATCCCCACTTCATATGTTTCACTTTTGTATTTGATTAACTATTTTTATGAACACTATATGTAATCATCATCTTGAGATTTCTTCCTGTTCATTTTAACTTTGAAAGCAGTATTATTTCTACTTACTGTGTTTTGTTTAGTCTTTCCATACATTAAATTAAAAAAAGAAAAATTGACAGTGAAATGGGTCTCAGTTTAATGACTGCATTAATGTCAAGTTCCGTTTTTAATGGCTGCTAAGAAATTTTGACCATGAAGCAACAGAATGGCCTTGTAAGATATGTTGAAAACAACCATTCCCAAAAGACTGGTACATGTTTGGAAATCTTAAAAGTTGGTACCTTTTGAAATGCAGAATATTTAGCTTCATTTTGGGCATGGGTACATATGTGTATCACATACAGATCATTCTGATATGTTTCCCCATCACAATCTCCCTTCTGTCCTTAACCAGTAGTTCCCTTTTTTATATGGTCAGTCTTACTTTTCTCTATCGACTCTCTTTCATTTCATTCCACAATTTATATTTTGGTTTCTCATCTAAAAGAAACCCTGTGACCTTTTAGGTTTTATAGCTGAGATATTCCACTGAATTGCTGGGAGAAAGACCCATCTATTTCTTATGGCAAATGACATAATACTATTTATTTTTTGAGATTATATAACACACTTTTTTTCTTTTCCATGCTGGGAATGAGCAACAGGTATTAGCATAACATCTATAGCTTTTTTTAAAATATGTTTTTAGAGATTTTCACTGATCATTAAGCTGTGAAGTTTGAACTTGAATTTGCCATTCTGCAAAATCTGATTTCTAGTTTGCTGGGTTTACAAGAATGCACAATCACAGAGTCTATTAACATTTTGCTTCTCCACAAATCCAGTGATAGATACCTAAGCTTCTTCAAGGCCTGATCTATTATAACTTGATGTGCTTTGTATATGAGTAAGCATGTATCAGTATTTTATGTGGATTTTGAATTTTTAAAAATATCCAGGACAAGTATGAGGGGATCAATTTCTAGAGAAAACTGCATACTGATATTCAGAATGAGTGCTCTAACATTCCAACAGATTACTAAGAATTTTAATCAGAATGGCTGATTCTCTAGAGCATTGTCATGGTTTATGTTTGTGTCCCCCAGGCCTCATGAGTTTGCATTCAGTGCTCCACCCACATAGGTGTGGAACCAGGATGTGATGTAATGGCAGGAAGAAGGTGTGATTTTATTTTTCTTTGCTGGTTTGACTTTGCTGTTGGGGGCCGCCATGAACTGGAGCCCAGCCATGCCTGCCTGTCTTGGAGCCAACTGAGTGTGGACTGAAACCTCCAAAAACTGTAAGAAATAAACCTTTCCTTTCCCAACTTTGGGCTTCAGGTATTTTGTCTCAGCGACGAGCATAAAGTAACTAAGACAAGCATGGCTTGGAAACATGAGCACTCCATTTTATTTCAAATTCTATTGCAATCTTAGTAATTTTTAGATAATGGATGTGTTGTATTCACATGTATACATTTGTAGAAAAACTGAAGGCAGAATATCATAACTCAAAGTGTATGGCTTTCATACACATCTATATGCAATGTCATATGTTTTCATGATTTAATTCCCTCATTACACATACCCTAGCTTATACATCTTCAGAGAATATTGCTGATATTAAATTGAATGGTGCCTCATTTCTTTGGCTGCCATTCTTCTGCTTACTAATTACTCAGGAACGTTCCTTCTCCTTGTGAGTGTGAATTACCTTAAGTATCTCCAGTAAATCTTGCATTCTTTTTTAGCTTCCTGGATATCCCCAAGTCCTCCTGAATTGCAGACATAGAAATACCAGTGCTCATTAGAATAATACATACAAATAAATAAATTTTGTTTAGATTTATGATATAATGGGTCCAGATCTGAGCTATTTTTAAAAATATTTTCACATTCTTTTAATGAAACAGCACTAATGAGCAATAAACAATATTCTGACAGCATGAGTGACAAAAGTATTTCATCCTTACCTATTGCAGCCAAGTTCCTAAAGGTTTCACCCATCACATCTCTGCAGAGGTTCTTTTGGGATGGACTCAGCAAAGCCCACTCCTCATTGCTGAAGTTCACGACCACATCCTCAAAGGTCACTGCCTCCTAAAGGATCATACATGTATTTCTCAAAGGAAGGTTAAGATCCCAGGTTTGAGATATCTTAAATTCTTTCCTACAAATCTGAATCTCAAAAGGCTGAGACAGGATGGCTTTGGTGAGTTCAGGGCAATTCTAGGCTCCATAGAGTGTTCAAATACAGCTGATATACATACAGAAAGCTTGTCTCAATAAAACAAAACTAAACTTACATAAAACCAAACAAAATAGCTGAATGAAGACTGATTTCTTCAAATTTAAATCCATGTCTTGGTCATTAATTTTGTATATATACACATTTTTGAAGACAGCAAATTTGATGCTAGATTGCAACTCACTGCTAATGTAACAGTGAAATAGGAGCACTGATTCTTGTGCTGAGTCATTGCAATATTCTGTGTGTACTGTCTCTAAAGCAGAGCTCACAGTGAGAAGCCTGGAGGACCAGCATCCACAAAGCACAGAGGCAGATAAATATCCCATCAATCAACTGGGAAGCCAAGCAAGCACCTGCCTTCCCTGGTAAGTGGTGGTGGTGTGGCAGACTGCGGCCAATCCAGGGCGTGAACCAACAGCAGCTCCTGAGATCTAGGCCATGCTGGAATTTAGGACACTGTGAAGCCAAGCAAGCACCACCTCTCCTTCATAAGTGGTGGTGGTCTGGCAGACTTCAGCCCTTTCAGGGGGAGAACCAGCAACAGCTCCTGAGATCCACACCATGATGGAACTTAGGACTCTGTGAAACCAAACAACTAGCCAGTCTCCCTACTAAGCAATAGTGAACCTACTGATGCATGGCCTAGAATCAAACATTCCACTTCCTCTACCCCTCTTCTCCTGTCACCCCCACCCCTGTTAGCAAATGGGAATCACAAATCTGAGCATTTTCTGGGAAGTTGAAAATAACAAATAAGGGGACTTCCTTCTACTATCTCTTTGAAGGCAAATATTTTTATTACTGTTTTGCTCTATTCTGAATCATGGTATTGCTCTATTCAATGTTCTGTTTTGTTAAGTTCTATAATGTTCTGTATTTCATCTCATTTTGATATATGTGACTGAAGAACAATTATTATAAAGATAATGAAATATAATGTGATACCTATTACTGTTATCCCAGGAACCTGTTGTGAAGTTGTGTACCAGTTTCACAGTATGATCTGAGTTTGCCTTATTGTGCCTTGTTCTGTTGTATTTTACCAGTTTCAAAATTAGAAAAAAAGAAAAAACATCTCATCAATCACTTTGATAGACTATAGATGATGTCTCCACAAATCTCATTTAGGCCACTGAATACTTTGTTCTTAATATACTTCAGCATCATTTTGAAATATGAATTTGGTTTCATAGAAAAAAACATAAATAACATTCAATATGGTACATAAATAATAACACAAATGTTAGTGGAAAACAGCTGTATTTTATAAATATGTATAAACAATGAAACCGGGCCCAAGCTGTAAATTATAGTTCACTGTCACCCAGTGATCACTGTCCATTGAGATATAAGAAGTATATCTTGGGAGGCTGGTAAAGGAGTTCTTCCTTGAATTTGGGGCTATCCTAAGTTGCAGAGCTGTCTAAAACAGAGAAACCTTGACTGAGACACCCCACAGACAAAGTGAAACTTGAAAAGAGTCTGCATAAGACACCTTTGGTTTGTTTTTAAAAATTATACCCATATAATACAGAAAAATTCCAACAATATTCAACACTTTCTGAGAAACAATGTGGTTATCTTCAATACTTCAAAGAAAATAGTTTCATAGTTGGGTATTTAGCTCAATGGCATCACCGCCCGCCTGGAAAGCATAGGTCATGAATTCAATCCTTGGAACAAAAAAAAATCCAAGTTTTACCTTCATGACACTGGAGCATAATTATGATAATCCAAATTAGATCTCAAGCATGGAACACAAAATTCATGGGTTGACAGGGATGTGAAATGCTGATTGTTGCCAAAGCTGGTGTTGATCACCTCAAGTAAGCAATCAAAACCCAACTTTACTTCATACTTACTCTAAGAACTACCTGACTTTCAGTGAAGACCCTCTCTGTTGTATGTCCTGCTATTGGCTTCCTGCATCCTGTCAATCACTTCCACATTCTTTCCACACTCCTTTGATCCATTCTCAGCAGAAAACCCTTTATGCCTAACTATTGATATCACTGCAAAATTTCTATTTATGTCTTCTCCTTTACATCACTTAATAAAGTCCATTGAAGATAATTTCCATATTGAAACTGTCTATGAACAACCAAACTACTAACTCAGCTCTTAATTCAGAGATGAAACCCCTATTCCTTTCCATTCAGTAGGATATCATGTATAAAGGTCCATGCAAATGCCTAAGTTTCAGCATTTTCGATGAGAACTTAACAGGTAGCCCTTTTGGGAATTTGTCCTATACAAATTTTTACCCTGGCCTTGATAGCACTTTCATATTTGCTTCATTTTTCTCATACTTCAAAACTCTATGGCTCTTCTCACAAACCTAGTCTGTAAGCAGGGGTGCCACATAAATAAGTATGTTCAGAAATTATTTTGCACTGTTCTGTATAATACACAGGAGTTCACCAGGTGTTTGGGAAGCCTTCCTCTACTGAGGCACATTAGTACACAACTCTGAATTCTCAGGATCTTTGCCACCACCTGTCCTGAGGATGGAAATATGATACACACTATAAATTTAGCAGATCACTATAAATACAAAAAAGCCAAAGGTTAAGTTGAGCCATTGTGATGATGAGGCCCTGCATTACAGGCATTAATGAACTTTGGACATTCCAGATCTGCTACTCTGAGGAAAGAGAGCATAGACCTAGCTCATTACTGCTCTACAAGCTACAGAAAGCATCATAGTCAGGGTCTTCTCAAGCTCCTTCCAATGCCTAAGATTGTGGAGTTACCAGGCCAGCAGTGAATTTCAAAGATGATACTTGAGTCTGGTGCTGTCATAGTGGAGCCAGGGTTCTTGGGACCCAAAATCACCCTTGCCAACAGCAAGAGGCAAAAGGGACAGTGACTGACCCATGGCCAATGCTGGAGAACCTCAGGAGTTAAAACTAACTAAATACCTGAGGCTCCAGACACCGGAACTACTAAACACTTGTAACTGGTTTCACCCAATCCACCCTATTTCTGGGTTCCCATCCACAGCCTCACCATTCCATGGCTCAAGGATCTCTCCTGGGTTCTTTGCTAATCAGGCCACAGGACATCAAAAGTACTAAATGAGATGCAGCAAGAGTTTTGCTACCAGTATTGTACTCAGAACAGGTAAATAATGATGAGACATCCAAAGAGACAGAAGTCACAGCCAGCAATGGCCCACCTGATTGGACAGTTCATATAGCCTGCACCTTCATCACTGATTGACTCCTGCTCTACTGCCTTCCTTCTGAGACAAGAATAAACAGGGAAAGGAACCCCTCCCTGCAAGAGAGGATCCAAAATGATAGACTGTAGTGCAGAAGCTTCTGGAGCTGCCATTCTTCTACAGTGGTGAACTCAGCTCGACAGAGGAGTGTTTGTACTGAAGAGCTTTACGTCAGGCTTTTAATTTTCAAATCCATTTTATTTCCAGGAAAAAAGAACACATCAACTAAAATTAAATTTCAAAACATGTCAATCAGAAGGCAACAATGGTATATACATTGCACATTGACATCCCCAGATCATTCACCCAGAGCCCAAGACATCTGTAAACAATTTTCCAAACAGTACTGTTACAGGGACCTGAATTATTTAAATAATATTGGCATGAGACATGGCTAGGTCCTCCAAGGAGCCCATGCAGGAGTCCAGATATCTTTCCACTAAGGGGAAGACTGACACCTCATGCTATGGGCCAAGTCTGAAGACAAATGATAAGCAAATTCATCCATATCCTAAGGATTGATATTCTAAATAGTTCCCTAGCACTCTGAGGAAGACTGGGGTCACCATTCAAAGAAATATATCCTTATCCTAAGGACTGACATTCTAAATAGTTCCTGTCATCCTGATGACTTCAGTAGTCACCCTCCCAAACCCATAAAGGAAGATTCACTTTCCCCTAAGAATGCCTGCTTTCTATGTGACTCCCTTCCCTTTTTGTTTCCAATTTAATCAACTTTACCTGAACTTATAATCTTATTGGCTACTATAGCTCTGTCTCATTTATGCCCATCAGCATTGTGAGTTCCTAGTTTTCCCCACCTTAAACTCATTTCATCACATGATTTTACCCTATAAAGGTCCCTAGAAAGGACAGTATTTGGCAACCTGCTCAAGACCCCTAGTCTCTCGCAGGCAGCTTTTTTGCTCTCAATAAGTATATTCTTCTATTAATCTCTGTTGTTCTTAAAGTTCATTCTTTGACTTTACAGGACAGAAACCTCATATCAGATGTAGTAGACCGGGACATTCATTCCACTATAGCAATATCAGTATAAACTTTTCTCTTTCTTGAAGTCAGAGAAATCAGTAGTAGTTTATATCACACAATGTTGATCTCACCTTGCCAGGGATACTTGCATTGAAGGCCTTTATCCCTGCCTTTAAGTGCTACTTCTTTTTCTGAAAGTGAACTGATCTGTAATTTTGGTTATGGTATCTACAATGCATTAAGGAATTGACTCAAAATATTTCTTATGAATGGGTTAGCACCAGCCATGGAGGAAGACAGATAGCAAAAATTCTTTGTTTTGATTTCTTCCTTCAAACCTAAGGATGTACTTGAAAGAGTTTTACCCTAGAAACAATGACAGAACCCCATGGTGGTAGTTCAAGGTGGAAGAAGGTGAAATCAGGGATGCTTACCATTATGGCCACTTCCTCATTTTTCCTTGATTACAACTTCCTCTTTCTTTCCCAGGGGCCTAAAGAAAATTCCCATTAGCTCCTTGCATGACATCAATATCCCCTCCAAGCATACAGTCAAAAGTCACATATACCCCATAACCCTATAGTCAGTCAGAAAAAACAAAGCCAAACCCTTGGTGGCTGTGGGCTCCTCTCCACATT